AGTTTGTCAATCGAACGCTGCGGGATTTCGCGGGGAGCACGGTATTACCCATACAACGGTACCGCCGTATCACCCACAAGCGAATCCCGTAGAGCGGGTCAATCGAGTTCTAAAAACGATGATCATTTCATACCTGGATCGAGACCATAGGGAATGGGACGTACATTTGAATGATTTCCGCTTCGCGTACAACACCGCCCACCATTTGTCTATCGGCACGTCACCCGTTCCTAAACTTGGGTCGTGAGTTGGAGCCCACTCAGTCTTTGCGCCGCCGCTGTCAGAACGTTACCGAGGTAGAGCCGCGCGAACCGGAAGAATGGTCGGACCGAATGAGAGCCATACAGTCGTTATACGCGTGGGTTAGAGAGAATTTAGAGCAGGCTTACCAGAAACAGTCAGCGTACTATAATCTAAGAAAGAGAGATAAAACTTTTCAAGTAGGAGAGTTGATCTTGAAGCGGCAGCACACATTATCGTCAGCAGCACAAAATATTGCTGCCAAACTATCGCCGAAGTTTCAGGGTCCCTATCGAATTGCGAGAGTTGTTTCGCCCGTGGTGTACGAGCTCGCTAGATCACACGCCCGTGGGTAGGATACATGTTAAAGACCTGAAGTTGTATCGTCTTCCTGAGTGAATGTCGTTCCTTTTCCTATCCCCGCAGGGTGCCGAGAGAGAGAGAAAGAGAAAGCTAGAGAAGGAGAGAGTGACGGAGCGGGAGAGAGTAGAGAGCAAGAGACGAGAGACGGCTGCCGGAGGGATGGCGAACTGGAGCTTCGGAGATCTCTACGACCATCTGCGTCGGTTCGTGAGCCGCCAGTTCCCGGGATTTTGGGCGGAACTCCACGAGAGGCTGGAGGATGAGTGGCGGCAGCAATTCACCACGGTGGGAGCCGTCGTGCGAGATTGGCCGGAAAGCCAGGAGGCCGCGGTCCAGACCACCGAGGCCGGAGAGTCGTGGGAGCGGCCGACGACCCGGAGCATCGGGACCCAGACGGAGAGTGAGGAGCGTCGCACCGTCGGGAACCAGGCGAGCGGACCTCTGACCCGAGAGGACGGCTCCCAGACGGACGCCGAAATGGAGGAGCTAGGCGGCGTATGGGTCTGGGTATGGGCCCCCCGTAGGGGATGGGCTGCCGGCCTACCCCGGAGGGACTTCACCGTCACAATGCCGTCCTCCAACTGGAGACAGTGGGGAGCCGCGGAGCAGGAACCCGAACGAGAGGCCGAACCGGAGAGGGCTTCTCTGACGGACGGTCGCGAAGGGATGCCGGAACCGAGCTGCCGCCCCGAATCGCCACCGGGGGGAGACCGCTCCGACGAGCAGCCGAGGGGACGACGGGAGGAGGAACCGTCGGAGGAGCGCCGTGGGGAGGCGCCACCCGAAGAGAACCGCGAGGAGTTGCCAACGAGGGGAGAGGTGAACCCGCGCGAAGAGGCCCAGCGAGGTGAAATCCCGGGCCCGCGGAAAGGAGGCCCCTACACTCGCCGGGGCTGTTGGAATTGCGGCTCAGGGGCGCACCGATACTCCCAGTGCTCCTCTCCCCGCGATCAGCCATTTTGCTACGGCTGCGGGGAGAGTGGGTACACGATGAAGGAGTGCCCGGGCTGCCGTCAGTGGTGGGACGACCTGGGGCCGTACCACCCCGAACACGGACACGATCGTCGCAGGAAGTAGGAGGCGCCGGCTGCCGAAGACGCCGCTCGAGAGGACCCCCTAGAGGTCCCGAGTGTAGGCTAAAATAAAGACGTCTTGTACAGCCCAAGAAACTTGTCAGCTTTCAACACGAAGTCTCTTCCTCTCCTCCCGACTCCCAGATGCATGTCTCCGGCCCTTGCGTTAGCGACGCGTAGAAACTTAAGCGGGGATGTAGGGGAGGGACTGACGCAATTGTCGCGATAAGAGAAATACCCGTGTGGCATAGGCGTATAGTTAGGGAATTCCGCTGCTAGCCCGGTGACGGCTGCGCCTCCGGTAAGGGGGGGGAGGCAGGCGAGCTGGTCCGAAAGTGAGCCCACAGAAAATTTTTTTTTCTTTTTCTTTTCCTTGCGAGCATGCGCGGACACAGGTTCGGCTCTGGAAGCGAGGTGAACCCGCGAAAGCGAGTCGCATCCTTCAGGCCACTGTGGGGCGCAAACTTTAGAGTTTAGTTTTGAGAGTCTTGCTCCCAAGTTTGTATGACCGGACGCGGTCGTCGGAACGGGAACGATTAGCTCACGGAAGGACAGCTCGCCTGTGTCGCAGTCGGCCGGTCGAGTGGTAGCGAAGGAAACTGGTGGCTGACGGCGTTCGTCGCAAGCAAGACCGCTTCGGTCCTCTCCAGGGAAGGGGGAGTTGTGACGTGACGTTTTCTGATCGTCCGTCACAAGGGTCGCAACACCCGACCGAGGAAGCGCGGTTTCGGATCCTGCGTCCTCCCCGATTTAGGGAGGCGAGCGTATCCGCGCGCATTGCGTTTTCAATCTTATTACCGCGCGCTTTATGTAACCCTTTCTTTCCTCGTGAGCGTAACTGTAGGAATAAATCGGCGACATAAGGAAATCGTCTACATCAAGCGGCGGGAGGGAGAGAGACATCGGCCTCGGAACGTCTGGCTCATCGCGGGAGAAACGGAGCACGCAGGTCA